CAAACAATTGTCCATGTGGCCCTGCCCCTGCCCTAACCATCTCAAAAGTACTTTTGCTTTCTTCTTCCTTGGAGTTCAAGGTTCTGACCGGGACCAAAATATCAAAATCAAACCTGTCCTAGTAAGGATGCAGGTGCTGCTTAATGTTTGCATCTCATTGGCCTGTCAGGCATCTTCTCAGGATCCCAGCAGCAGTGTGAGAGAAGAGAAAGGAGTGCCAGTGTAGAGAGGGAAGAAGGAGGGGGGAGAGGAAGAGATGAGAGAGGGGAGAGGAAGAGATGAGAGGGGGGAGAGGAAGAGATGAGAGAGGAAGAGATGAGAGAGGGGAGAGAAGAGATGAGAGGGGGGAGAGGAAGAGATGAGAGGGGGGAAAGGAAGAGATGAGAGAGGAAGAGAGGAGAGAGGGGAGAGGAGTGGAGCTAGCCAGACTTTGGTTCCTCTCAAGGCATCCCAAGCCCAAAAATGGTCAAGGCCCAAGCCTAGCAGAGAATCTCCACCCTCACCTCCAGGGACTTGGAGATTGTATGCAAAGCCCTAGCAGTGGGATCTCAGGGGCACACACATTTTTTGCATACCTGTTTGTTTGTTGCAGTACCCAGGATCGAACCCAGCAAGCATCTGACCATTAAGTTACCTATCCAGCTCTTGCTATTATTTTTTAAAAGGTGTTAAAAAAAAAACCACAGGAGTAATTCTGCAAATTTGTCAGTTTGCATGCTTCCCCCTCCCAATACCATTCCACCCGCACCCAACCCCCCTCCACACACACACACACACACACACACACACCTCATACACACTCACACACACACACTCACACTCACACTCTCACACCCTGCTTCGGCTTCTCGACTGTTCAGCTCCAGCAGCAGAAGTGCGAGCAGAACAAAAGACCTCGGGCTCTTGTGAATCGTGGAACACTTTATTGAACATAAGTGAGCAGATGGCAGATTTCAGCTTTCGACTAAGACTCTAAGCACCAGGAAAGCAAATAAAAGGCGGTTCTGTGGAAACGTTGAAGGAGAGGGGTAGAAGTTCAAAGAGAAAAAAATTCAGAGGATGAGATGAAATGCTTTATGTGGTGAGAGAGATGAAGGCCGCAGAGGAAGGAAGCAAAGGGACTTTAGCCTTTGCTGAGAGCCCTCTAAAAGCTGGGCCAAGCTCACCCAGAGAGCTGGGAAGGAAGGCCTTATGACAACAGGCCAAGAGCTCTGAGCTCTGCAGAACGGAGCCATGAGCTAAGCATGAAGTGATGAAGTGTGCTGTTGGCTAACCATGGGACTTTGTGTCTCTTAGCCATCCTAAACCTTAGTTTCCGTGCTCTCAAAGTAGGAAACTCACTGAGTGTCCGTCTCCAGGGTTGTTGCAGAGAACTGTGTCAAAGAGTCAGTGTGGGGATGTGGCCCCTAGCCAGACACAGACACATGGATAGTGTTTCCTCATCCTTTCCTGTTACCAGCACCAGAAATAACTTATTGCTGTTCTGAAGCTCGGCCTGAGCCAAGGGCTCTCAGCCACTCCCCAGAGGGATCAGCAGCCTACTCCAGTTCTGCTCCCTACAAGGGAGGCCCTTCTCAGGGAAGGTGCGCTGTGGGGTCAAATGCCCCCAGACCTTTGCCTCTTCAGAATGGAGTTGTGTTGCAAGCCAGCAGTGGGTAAAGCTAAAGGTCATGGGTAACCTTCCAGAAAACCCAACTTCTGGCTTTTCAGAGGCCTCTTCATTCATGAGCTCGAGCCCAACTAACAGGTGACAGTGGGACTTTGATGGTCTCCTCTCTCTCTCTCTCTCTCTCTCTCTCTGTCTCTCTCTCTCTTGCTCTCTCTCTCTCTTCCCTCTCTCTCTCTCTCTCTCTCTCTCTCTCTCTCCCCTCTCTCTCTGTGTGGAGGGCTGGAATATTTCTGTGTGACGTGTACACATAGGTGAGTGCACGTGTGTGTGCACATGAATTATTTCTGTGTGACGTGTACACATAGGGGAGTGCACATGTGTGTGCATGTGAATGTTAAATGTCTTCTCCAGCTGCTTCTCTGCTTTGTTTTTAAGGTGGATTCTCTCAGCTGGACAGTGATCCTGCATGCCTTTGATCCCAACATTTGGAAGGCAGAGGCAGGTGGATCTCAGTGAGTTCTAGGCCAGCCTGGTCTACAAAGCCAGGTCCAGGACAGAGAAACCCTGTCTCAGGGGGGGAAAAAAAAAAAAAGATTGTTTCTCTCACAAAACCCAAGCTCATCTGTTCAGCCATGCTGCCTCCCTGGTGTACAGCAGGATCTTTCTGGCTTTACCTCCCCTACACTGGGATTACAGACTTGAACCATCACAATGGTGGTTTTTTTTTTTTTTGGTTTGTTGTTTGTTTTGTTTATCTGAATGTTGGGGATCTGAACTCAGGTCCTTAAGTTTGCGGGACAAGCACTTCACTGACTAGGCCATTCCAGCTCCTTGAGGGAATGTCTGAAAGTAAAACAGGGACCTTGTAACTCATTTGCATTACTTGGTCCCCAGGACAAGTCAAGTTTCCCAAATTATTGAATCATTCTTGATATTGAACTCACAAGCTCAAAAGCCAGGGGCAATTGGTTCTCACTTGTTTAAATTAAAAAGGAAAGTAGTCTTTGATATCAAATTGATTTGGAGACCCCTTGGTTCTCTCCAAGGCCGTAGTACTGTTCTGACTGCTTTTCTCTGACACAAAGCACAGCACATGACCACTTGTATAGAAGCACGCACACAAACACATGCTTGCACATGAACACATACAGAGGGCTAAGTCCCTCAAGAAAATTCTTCATATAGATCAATCTTTTCTTGTTTCTTCACCAAATAGCAAAAAATAATAATAATAATAATAGACAAGAGACTGGTGAAGATTCATATAAATGTTTTAATCACCCAGCCCCAGCACCCCACTACCCCTTGAAAATAAGACATGCCGTTTTTAAGTTATAACATCTCTAGTTACAAGTGAAGCTAAATTCTACCTAGACACAATTTAAGTTGTATTAGAAATCCATGAGTTTAAAATGCAGCAATAAAAATAACTGAAAAAGAAATTTAAACCTTTTGGAACTAGGAAAAAGTAAACAAAGGAAAAAACACGTAAGCCATAAAACAACAACAACAAAAAGACTTGATCATATAAAAATGAAAAACTTTAAGGAGCAAGCTATAACATAATCAAAATTATAAACATAAAGCAACTTAAAGACAAACATAAAAAAGAACCGCAACCCCACCAAATTATAAGGAAATATCTCAACCCATGCGATGTACTTTCCCAAATTAACAAGAAGAAACTCCAACTGGAAGACTCTGAAAAACAAAAACTGCTACACTGCAGGAGCGGAACCAAAGCTAACAGTAGTCTCATTAGGTCAAGGAAAACTGCTCCATCTCGACTAGTAGACGGATAAATTAAAACTGACAAGGTGCTGTCACTGTGTTTCCCCCGCCACCAATTCTTGAGGTGGTTGTTAGCCAGTGACTATGTGGGACCACTGGTTTACCACATGGTATTTGCGGAAATAGAAATAACTACAAGAAAGTGATCAAGTAACATTTATTTATTTATTTTTTGGTTTTACGAGACAGGGTTTCTCTGTATTGTTTTGGAGGCTATCGGTTCAAGTAACATTTATTAACACATAAAATATGCACATGCTCTGATCTAGGAATACTCTTCCCGGGGACTGCTAAGGCTAACTTAAAAATTACCAGTGTACAAAGAAGCTTTTTGTCGCTATTTAACAAGGCATTTATTTATTTGCTTTGGTGGTGAAATAACCCCAAGCAACTTAAATATCATTGAGAAGGTGCTCCATTAAAGAAATTATGCAGAACCGGTGCTGGGGAGAGTATTGTTGGACTCGGAAAGCCACCCTTCAATTTTCTCATCTATAAAATAAAAATAATAGTGGCACTTGTGTCACATACATATTTATGCAAATTTACAGCGCTGGGTCAGAATCAGAGGTACAGAAATAAAGATGATGCTCAGAGTGTACATGGGTGCATATTTATTTGAGTAGATTTGTGTCATCAAAGGAAAAATGGGAAGAGGTTAAACATGACATTGTGAACACTGTCAGTGCTTTTGAAATTTATGTAATTAAAACCAAGAAAAATACCAAAGCAGGGGGGGGGGGAATCAACAGGAAACATGAACAGAATATCCAGTCACTAAAGACAAACACTAGTGGTTAGTAACCATAACAAGGAAGAGAAAAGAACCACCTTCAATATGATGCCCTCTGTATTCAGAATAACCAAACTGGGGCTGCAGATAGGAAGAGGGAATGGGTGTGTATTGGGGACATGTAGGGTAGTGGGGGGACACGGGTAAAGGAAGGGTGTGGGATGTGGGGTGAGGGTAGGGCAGTTAGACCTTGTAGATGAAATAAATTCCTTTAGAGGGGTCAGAGAAAGCCCTGAGTTATAATCCTGGCCTTTGCACTTATTATCTATGGAGTCCAAATTGACTTTGTTTTAAGCCAATCTCTTCATTGAAGAAACGAGTGTGAGAAGCAATGAGATCACATCCAAGCAGGGCCTGAGACTAAGAGCTCCTGCTCCTTAAGCTCAGCTTCTTGGCCACCCAGGTGGTGCGGTGCTGGGACCCTTCCTCCCTTCCTCCTTTTCCCAGTTCCCCAGACACTGCAGCCTAGGAGCCCTGTCCTTCCTTCCGGAGACTTAGAGGAGACATTCTGGTCATAGGATCTTCACTGTCTTAGCTTAGCCCAGCCTGCCTGCTTGTGATACAAATTCCTTCTGCAATGAAATGATTTTACTCCTAACCAAAAAACAAAAACAAAAAAAGTAAAGGCATGCTCTCAAATACACACACACACACACACACACACACACACACACACACACACACGGTTGGGGGCGGCATACAGAGAAAGACAGAGAGAGAGAGAGAGAGAGAGAGAGAGAGAGAGAGAGAGAGAGAGAGAGAGAGAGAGAGAGAGAGAGAGAGAGAGCACTGAGCGAGCAACAACTGCTTACTTGGCACAATCTTCCTAAATAAGAATCCAAGCTTCACACTGGATCCTGTACAAAATACAAGTTTCATTCCAACAGAAAGACAATTCCCCCAAACCAAAATGGTAGGGGAATATAGTTGTTATAGTTGTAGGCATTCAACATTATCAAAACAGAGTGTCTTTAAACTGTATTGAACCTTTAAAATACCTTTAAAAGACACAGGACAAAATAATCTGTCTCTGCAAAAGTCAAGCCACTGGAGACATGATGAAACTATCCGGAGCTGTTCTGCTTGCCTGGCAGGTGAATGTCCCCGCAGTTCCAGCAGGTTAGGTGGAAGTCCCTTTCAATTTAGCAGATCACCAGATTGCCACAGTAAGTGTCCACAGATGATAACTCTGTCCTATTGTCCTGGAAGACAAGTTCCGGGTCTTCAGAATTCCTCCATGCCTGTTCACAGGTCTGGAACCAGTAGGATTCCCCAACGGGCAGAACTCACACACTCTGAGGCCTGGACTCTCTCCCACTGCCGTTGAGGAGGTCTGTGAGTTCCCCGATGTACTTGATTGTGTACTTGAGTGTCTGGATCTTGGTGAGCGGCTGGCCTCTCTGGCTGTAGACAGGGGGCAGGTAATTCCGGAGCGTGTGCAGGGCATCTGCCAAGGTCCGCATCCTAAGTTTCTCTCTCTCGCTGGCTTTGCGTCTCCGCTGGACAGACATCTTGACTTTGCTACCCTTCTGGCCTTTGAGACCACCAGAGGCTTGTAGGTAGGCGGGTTGGAAAGCTAACATGCTACAATCCAGCTCTACCAGGCCACCAGCCCCATGGCTGCTATAGCCATCGCTGCCTCCAATGCTGGCCCCGCTATGACCACAGGGCAGTGCAACCTCAGAGTAGGACTCCAGAGAAGGAACTGGAGAGAGGCTCTGAGTTGGGGATGCCTGGCTCCGCTCCAAGGGCCTGGCTCGGCTTTTCCAGTCCCAGGAGGCCAGCAGGCCAACGGGGTCAGAAGCATCAAGGCCGTCCTCCAGGTGGAGGAAAGTCTCTCCCAGGTTGTCCATACCCCTGAGACAGTAGTGGAAGGACTCCTTGGCAAATGTGAAAAAGAGTTCTGCTGCCCTGGCCAGAGACCAGCTCTCTTTTATGATGGTAGGGGACCAGGGACAAAGTGGCAAAGGGGCCCCTGGTGGAGGGAGTTCAAAGGAAGAAACCAAGGACCAAGATGGAAAATGAACTCCTCAGGTGTCACTTTCTCCTCGTTGATAATTAGCATCTTCCAGCTAAAATGTCTTTAAACAGACCGGCCTCCAAGAGAAGAAAAAAGGAATTATCTTGTTGTAACTAAACCAATTAAGTCTGCATAACCAGGTTTAGCATTGTCCTGTGGAACTCATTAATGAGGAGCCAAAGAAAACAAGCCTGGTGATCCCCGCCGCAAGGAGGGGCTCCTGGGGGAGCCTTTGGGCCAGGAGGACCCGCCCACCTCGGGGATATTTTAGAGAAGATGGGGTGGTTGTTGTTGGAGAAGAAGCATGAGGCCGCGACAAAGCGAGTCTGAGCTTTGATGCACTTCTGTGTCAAATGCAGGCAATAATGGCTCCTATTTCCTGGGGCTGGCATAGGCTGTGATCAATGCTCACTTCTTTCTCCACTTTAGTTAACTGCCCCAGGTTTAAAAAACAAAACAAAACAAACAAACAAACAAACAAACAAACCTACTCATAGAGGGAAAAGCCAGCATATCCAGTAAGCTGGGAGCCTTACGGAGCAGGAAATCCTTCTAGAAGCATAAAAAAAAAGTCCTTGCTTTAAGTGATCACACCAGAATCCCTGAAGCAAGCAGACATCCATCAGACAATAGGACACTCCACAAAGCCAGGAACTTGCAGTGTACCTGCCTGGCATTTACCCTGATGAAGGTCTTTTTAAAAATCCAGCTGCCTGGTCACACCTTGTTTTTTTGAAATGTATAGAGGAAGTGTGAAATTAACAAGAGAGTCACTTTCCCCCACTACCCCTCCAAATGCCACCAAATGTGTTAAGTTGGATAGCCTTGCTAGTTAGCTTCATTTCCTAGATGTTCCCATAGACACTCACTTCGAAAAAGGAGTTCCAAATTCCCCCATTTGTCCCAGGAGCGGAACTTATCCTCCATGCAACTCATTGTTCAAAAGAATATCAACGCCACTGTCACCTTTGACTTCACATCGACTTGTCCTTTAACATGGTTATTTCAGCCCTTTGCAATTGTTAGAAAAAAAAATGTCAAGGACCTAATTAGAGCACTCGTGGTATTTTTTTAATTAGCAAGGCTCAGGAAATAAACATCTGAAGCATGTAATCTGGAGAAAAATGCACTTAGCTTTACCATTTGCTGAAGAACACTGAGCCAGGTCCCAGGCAACACTGCTGATGAAATATAATAAATATATTATATTATTCCTCCTACTTCTCCCTTTCCATCTCTCTCCCTTCTGCTCTGGTCCCGAAGCCCAGAGTGCAGTGGGGTTCTTCCAAGAACTTTTCATGTATTATAACTAACTTTCAGATTTAAAATTCCCAGCATTGTACACATGAGAAGGCTGAGGTTCCCAGAGCTTGAGAAACTAGGTTACAACCCCCAACAGGAAGTGACACACTCAATAGAAAGCAGCAAATCCCCCATAAAACTCCAGACACACAACATTTTTAAAGATTAACATTTCCCTCATGGCAGTCTGTTGTTAGAAGGCATGTGACTTGTGTGAGACTTGAGGACACAAGATGGCTCAGGTGGTCACCACCATAGTCACACAATAATACCATTTCTGTTCTAAAGCTTCCATATTTCCCCTCTTTCCACAGTCATTTGCAAGGCACTACTTTCTTCAGCTTCTTCCTCTTTTTACAAATTTTATTTTATTATTTTGTTATTTTGTTTTTTGAAACAAGCTCTCCCCGTGTAGCCCTAACTGTCCTGGAACTCTCTCTATACACCAGGCTGGCCCCGAACTCAGAGATTCGCTTGTCTCTGCCCCCCCCAAGATTAAAGGCATGTGCCACCATGCCCAGCCCAAAATTATTTTCTAAATGAGAAAATGTCCATTAAATCTTTGGTTCGTGTGGGCATGGAATGTAGCTCAGTGGGTAGAATGCTTGCCTCGCATTTCTGAGGTCTTGGGGTTGAACCCTCGACACTGCATGAACTGAGCATGGCTGCACACACTTGGCAATCCCAGCACTGAGGAAGCAGAGGCAGAGGGATTAGAAGGTCAAGGTCCTGCTCAACTACACATTGAACTCAGAGACAGCCTGAGAATTATGAGACCCTGTCTCAGACAAAACAAAGGTCTTCAGTGCACTGTAGATACTTGATTGGAGTTGGTTTAGTTATCGTTGTCACTTGTCACAGTCATACCACCATACTATATACTGCCTCTGACCTGAGTCTCCAGCAACGCTGATCCCCAAAGCGTATTATCAGAGTGAGGAAATGGCCCGTCTCCCCTGTTCTTAAAGTGCACTTTCCCCCTCTGATGAGAGTCAGTGCTGGCCCAGGTTCACACTGATCTGGCCATGAGTCACTCTTTGCTCAATCCAGAGAAAACGAAAAGGTGAAACACAGTGCGGTACCCCTTTTGTCCCTTTTCCATCGTGTGTTCTAAGGTGGAAAACACATTCAGTCTAGACGGGACCCAAAAACCCTCTTGGAAAGTGTGCTGAACAGAAGATCCAAAATTGCCTGGCTTCAAGATCCATCTTTTTTCTTTTTCTGGGAACTGATGTGCATCACGCGCTAAGTTTTCATGCCAAGTAGATGGCTTACCTCCTGCAGAGTGGGTCACAGGGATAAGGTTTCCGTATATAATTTAATGTCCGCTTACTCATCTAGTGTTTGTAAGAGACCGCGACTATGATCATCACAGACTATCTTAATATTTCCAAGGTTAATAAAGAAAATAACAGTCTCACTATGGAAATTGTCCATTTCCCTGCTAGGTTGTACCAGGCAAATTGTCCCAGAAGATGGTCCAAATGCAATATCTGTCCCCTGAGAAACAGCACAAAATACAACTTACATGTATTGTCCATATCATACAGTGTTCCCACCTTAGACTCTGCATGTGACATAATCACTGCCAATAGCTACAAGATACAGGGCTTGGTTCAAAGGCCACCCTCTCCAGGATGCTGTTCCTGCCTGCGTCAGACCCCAAATCTCTGCCATTCTCCAACAAGCAATACTTGATTTGGTCCCATCTTTCTGCCTGCCATTCCTATAGATTTGAGTTTCTCTTTGGCTTGTGCTGTATGTTATCTGCTGTGCTGGGTGCTAAGGACAGACAGTAAGTTAAAGGGCTTTTGTCTCCAGCAAACATATACACATATACACCAAGTGAATAAACCTCTGCTTGACTCCTTGAAGCATGTTGAGATCTGACAGAATAAGCAACCATACATTCGATGAATGTGATTCTGGAGAATGAATCACGTCTATGTGTAATGTTATCGCCACCAGTTCTGCTCTGTGAAGGAGAAATTGAAGTCAGGTGGTGGTGGCACATGCCTTTAATCCCAGCACTTGTGAGGGAGAGACAGGTGGATCTCCATGAGTTTGAAACCAGCCTGGTTTACAGAGCAAGTTCCAGTATAGGCTACAGAGCTACAGAGAAACCCTGTCTGGAAAAAACAGAGAGAGAGAGAGAGAGAGAGAGAGAGAGAGAGAGAGAGAGAGAGTTACTCAGTAGTTTCCCCAACATAGCATAGCTGAAATCTGATATTCCCAGGGTTTGAGCCGAATCAAGTCTGGTGAGTAATCACTGCTTTGCTGCTTCCTGAGGGACAGCTGGAGGTATCAGACTGGCAACTCCTATAGAGCTGTTGAGGCAGGCATCCAAGCTTGAAAGGGAACTTGGAAAATATAAAAAGATGGATTCACATCGTAGGCATAGAAGGGACATGGGATTAGTCAGCGCCTGAACGGATATATAGCAGTCCCTCTCCTTGCCCACAGTTTCATTTCTGAGGGTGTAGTCACCCATCACTAACTATGATCCAAAAGCATTTAAAGGAAAATGCCAGAAATAGACATATCTTAAGTTTCAAATAAGTACCATTTATACTAGTATAAAGAACTACATCATACAACTGTACTCCTCCAACACTCTTCACTTCATCTTCTTACATTGTATCATCTCACATTACCACATGAAGAGGGGTAAAATATAGGACAATGTAATATTCCAAAAGAGACGGAACTCATTCACCATGGATTACAATATAATACATAGCGTATTACACTATATTGTTATGCTTTATTTTTTTCAGTTAATGCTCATAATCTCTTATTGTGCCTAATTTATAAGTAAAACCTTAACACAGATATATAGGAGGGATAAAACCATGTATAGAGTTCATACATATAGATTTTGGATATATACCCAAGGTCTAGGACATCCACTGTGGTATGGAAACACATCTCTAGACAATTAGGGAGACTGTTAGAGTCAGTTTAGACTATCCATATTGCTAAATTGCATGACTGGATAAGTCACACACTCATACCATTACTTTGTGTCCTCAATAGTGAACAGGGCTAACTCTTAAGCCTGATGCAAGTGCTGTATGAATGGGAGCCACACTGTTCCTATGGCCATTCTTATGGTAATCTTGGGCATGAGGATCATAATAGTGCAAATAATACATTGTTCTAGTACTAAGTTCTTTATGTTTTACTTTATTTAAATGATACAGAAATACAATTCATGTTCCTATTTCAAAAAGTAATAAACCGAGGCTTGGAAAACGTGATCTGTGTGATGAGTTTGAGGTACTACTTAGACCTAGGCAGGCTGATTCCAGGGGCTCAAGACTTCAGTGACACGTGTCCCAAGAGAGGTAAGAAATGGGAGGGGGTGTGCAAGGCTCCTAGTTTCTGGTTTATGGCAGGGAGTATCTGTCTGTCTGCCTCCATTCCAAGAATTTTCCTTGTTCTTTAACACATCATTAGCATAATCCAACAGGAGATAAGGGTGGTATTCAAACTTTTCTCATAACAGAAAATTTTAGGAGAACATCTTCTTCTTCACAAAAGGAACACACTCAGGTCCTAATGTCGATAACAGAAACCGTGCTCTCCATTTTCTGAGTCCCTGTAGCTCTTAGTCTATGCTAAGGACTGAACACAGGGTCTTTTGCATTCTCTCATGAAACCAGTGAGGTCATCTACCTAAGCAGGCAGGTCCTTATCCTACAGGAGAGGAAGCAGAGAGCACTTGGTACACGTTTTGCAGAAGGTCACCAGACTCAGCTTCTTTTCTCCAAGCCATAACCTCACCCAACGCTCGGCTCGTGATACACCCAGAACTAGCTGCC